AGTAGAACATTGTGATTTACCTCATCAAATCAATTTGACAGTTGGATATTTCTTTGGAAATGTACTCACTTAAGACACAAAGATTTGTTGCATTTTGATGTCGTAAACAGTAAGTGGAAATCCCAAGTACCAGCAATTTTAATTCCATCAACGAGTTGTTCTTCCTCCTTATTGGATAAAACTTTCTGACCCTTATATTCACCAGTAAATAACCCTTTTCTTCCGAGACAATGTACATACCGGAATAACATATTTCCTGGCGGTTTCTCTTGAGTGATTTTGTTCGCAGATATGACCCACACATCCGACGGTTTTTTTCCAAAAAATGTGTGCTGTGCACAAATGTATACAAATTTCAAATTTGATCATAGTATAAAAAAATATCACTTACATTCCTTACACCACACATAACAAGTTGCCTCGGCACACATCAACAACTAGCTAACGAGGATGACATTTCTTGCAATTTACATGACGGCTGCATGTCGGGCGCTTTTACGGTAATGTGAAATGAACTTACTTGGAAGTTTTGGAAGATGTACTTTGGACATCCTCCGTAGCCTCCTCATTCATTCCTGTCGGATCTACCCTTGTACCTTGTTGGGGGAACAGAATTGAAACTGTCTCGTTGCAAGACCGTCCCAGCCCCGGGAGACTGGAACTGTATTCCATAACCAATTTTAATTCAACACTATTGTTAACCGGTATACTTTCTACAATAACTTCGTCTTCGGAAACTCTTTTCATGCCAAATTGTATTGGAAATCGGTCTGCACTTTGAGAAAAACAACGAAATTTAGAAAAAGTTGATGAAATCGGATTTATTTCTGTTCTTGCTCGAGAAGGGAATAGAAGGTTTTGGTTGGCTGAAGAATGAAAACCCTGCTCGACTGTCGAAGGAGTTTTCCTTCGCTTTGTACAGGGTGATTCACCATAAATGTCCCCCCCTCTAGCTCACTTATTTTTGAACCGATTTAAAAATTTTAAAAATCATCTTGAATGATTTTTTAGAAATTTTTTTCCTGTTGCATCAGAAAATACAGGGTGCTCGGATCAAACGATCTACATTGTACTACTTCATTTTTTCAAATGGAACACCCTGTATTTCATTGTATTTTTAGATTCTCCCTGAAGAGCTGATTTCATCAATCCATCACACTTGGGGTATAGCGGGAATGATTACAGAGATATAGGGTGTTCAAAATCGATATTTTTCAACTTTGAAATTGTTTTGTGTCGAAACTATTCATTATTGGTCAAAACGACTTTGATGCCCCTATCTCAACTTTTGATTTACTATCTATTGACATTTCATTGGAACATATACAGTGTGGTTCAAGATTCAGAATTCTGATCACCCTGTATCTGTTCCAATTATTAAATGTCAGAAGATAGTAAATAGAAGTTGTGATACGGACATGAAAGCCGTTTTGACCGATAATGAATAGTTTCGTCACAGAAAAATTCTAAAGTTGAAAAATCTCGATTTTGAACACTCTATATCTCTGTAATCATTTTCGCTAGACCCCAAGTGTGATGCATTGATGAAATCAGCTCTTCAGGGAGAATCTAAAAATACAATGAAAAATAGGGTGTTCCATTTGAAAAAATGAAATAGTACCCTGTAGATCGTTTGTTCCGAGCACCTTGTATTTTCTGATGTAGCGGAAAAAAACTCTGTCGAAAATCATTTTAGATGATATTTAAAATTTTGCAATCGGTTCAAAAATAACAGAGCTAGAGGGGGGGACATTTATGGCGAATCACCCTGTACTTTATATGACTCTTGAATAGCTCTGTTGTTAACTTTTCTGGCAATACATTTGTTGAGACGGCGTTCAACTAGCTTCTACTGGTAGGGATGGAAGGTCTTGGGACCTACGAGAAATATTCTCCCTTGCTGGTTGACGATGGATTGGTGGAAATAGTTTGGAAGCCTCGAAAAAGGAGAGTGTTACAGTTAATCAAATATTTTAGATTCAAACAGAAAGTCTTTTTCGAAATTGTGACTGACTCTGGCACATTGACAATAATAATTCCAAACTCCAATATACCATGTGTACATAAACATTGATATCAATAAGCCGTCACAGGGAGATTTTGTAAGACCATGGTTTTATTGATTTTCTGTTGTCTTTCGTGTTCTTCACAACCTCTATGTATGGCAAGATGAGAATTATTACAGAATATACACTTGATTTCGGAGCTCTCGTACTCTTCCTCATGGTGTTCCGCACAGCGAGCACGCCTTTTTTTTTCTCCCTACATTGCCTCTTGGCATGTCAATATTTAAGACACTTGTAACATAGTATTACAGGAGGGATGTAAGCTTCTACTTCGTAGAAATAAGACCAAATACTTTGAGTGTTTGGAACTTTTGATCTACTGCATTCAAATGTAACCATCACTGTTGTGAAGGGCTCAAATTTTGCCTCTTTGTTTCTTAAATACATTTTGTTTAGCCTTTTGGCTTCACTGATTCTACACTTTCCATTATTATATTCAATTACGTCATCCATATCTATAGAATATCCGACTCCTCGAATTAGAGGGGTATTACGAGCTACATTAAGTATACCTCTAATTCCTAGTTCAAACAGGGTCTTGGCCAAATCTGATGAATGGATATTGCCTATATTTTTTTCTTTGCTTCAGCATATGACCATAGTCTTGTGAATATTCAATCTTACGCCTTTTTGCAGTGAATATTCTGTTGGAGATAACTCAGCTATCAAATTTTCGTCTCTAGCTTCTTTTTTAAGCGCCTATATTCCATCGCTCACTCTTTGACATCATTGAAACACCGTAGAAAGGTCGGCGACCTTTCACTTTTCCATCGATAATTCCACGGGAAATGTTCTTCGGAAATCTCTGCTATCATCTCTTCACTAGCATGTAACGAATATGGGTTTGCACATAGTGGAAGGAGAAGATGGTGTGCTCAACAGAAAACTCAAACTCGTCTTTTTCTGCGCATGACGTCAGCTGGGATATAACTGTCATTGCTATTATTTGTTTTCGTGATTGATGTCTCGAACTTCAGATATTATATAAGTACTAAAATTGAGTGAAATAATTTCGAAATGCCTATTTGTTTCGTTTCTGGATATGGAAATTCCAACGAACATAAAAAACGCAAAGATATTGAATTTTTCTGCTTCTCCAAGACCTAATGAAACGATATGAGCTTGCTGCCGACAATATAAACCCAAATGATGGTACCTACCTTATATTCCTTATATCCTCATTCCAAACTATTCACCTCTATCATATTATCATCACATTCATATTACAGCACGTATTTCTTCAAAACATTTCCATGCAAAATGTTCCCAAACAAGTGCGAAAGTACGGTTCTTGAATTACACACCTCCAAAAAATCACAAATATTTTAAACAAGATGCCATTCCTACAGAACATCTTCCGAATATCAAGTCAGAAATAATTGAAAATGAATTCAAAACTCTTAATTTCTCACAAAATATAAATTGCAGCGAAGATTTGAATACAAAACTGCAAAAATTGATACTCCTGTTGTCGATGTCGGAGCAGAAGCAACGTTAACGTCGTTAACTGCTGAATTTTAATCTGTCAGAATCGACACAGTAGTGGATCATTCAGATGGGATTGGCAATGCATGATAATTCGTATGTATTTGCTATTTGCGATTGCGAATTACCTCAAGATCACAATTTCCCTAATCAATGAAATAGTAAAATCGAAGGAATAGGTACCTGTTTATATAAATTGAATTATTCCTAAACAGATCGAGAAACTTATAATAGAAATTTCGATAAACATGATTGAATTCATTGCGCACGCCCATGGCAACGGTATCTGTCGTGACTAGCAGCTGATATTGGTATCCCAGATGACGTCAAATAATATGCGCGTAGGCACACCATCTTCTCCTTCCACTATGGGTTTGCACAATGAAGTTCAGTACAGAGAACACTACCAATGAGTTTATCTATATTCTTCCTAAATTTGACAATCTAAAATAGAGATAGTCTTAACATGATGCTGACTACAATAACATAGAATGAGTAACTTACCTAACACCAGGTCCAATTGCGTTACGCAGATAGTATCGTATGAATCTGTATATCAATCACACCACTAGGCTGTTAAATATATCTTATGAAAGAGAATATGATTTTTGATAACAATTTCATGCAGCCGTAAATAACGTCTACCATAACAACCATCTGGAAATCTGGACAGGATGTTAATTTATTTTATTGATAGACCGTTTGTTCTAGTATTCTGCTACAAGCAATACCAGTCAGACAAACTAGACAAGCCCAGTCAGCACATCCTTTCGTTGTCAACCTTTATCAAAACTCCTTCTTCCATAGAACGGCTAGGCTCTGGAATTCATTGCCTGAGGAAGTATTCCCAACAACATATAATCTCCAGAAGTTCAAAAAAAAACCAATACCTACTTCCTGTCCCTATCCTCCCTAGGAACGCACGATGTTCTTTGAACATTATATGGATATCCTTTCGTGCCCTCCAAGCGATAAAAAAATAAGATAAGATCCTCTATTTGAGCAGGACACAAGGTATGAAGAGCATTCAAAAGTTCCAACGATTTGAGAGAGAGGGAATTCTTGTAATGAGTTATTGCACTTCACCACTACGATCAGGTGGACGAGTTTCTTGCCCTCCCCCCTGTGACGGGGCCATTTTGTTTGGTTAACCACAAGAATGCGGTTTTGATACTACCCCTGAAAGCAGTCCACTAGCGACTATTCTACTCACTGTTCTGATGATTTACAGAGAAGACCACTAATATTGTTCGCATAAGCTATCTAATGAGCTATTTGAGCTTGATGCAGCTATTTTTCACGAATGTTAACCACTTCGCGCCAATTTCTTAGTTTCATATTTTTTATCTATTTATTTGTGATTATCTATCTTGATGCCACCTTTTTTGAGTTCTTTATATCTCTGTCGATATCATTATTAGAAACTCAATGAATTTGTTTCTCTTTCAGGTGTGATATTTGCGGATCATGCTTCAACCAAGCCACCCATTTGAAAAATCATGCAAAAGTCCATTCCGGAGAAAAACCTTTCAAATGTGATATTTGCTCTGTTGGATTTTCTGATAGGTGAGTTATTATTCGAAAATGTGAGATTTTCCTTTGATAGTGTATCTCATGATATTATTTATAAAAACCACCTTACACACCAGTAAAATTAGGAATAAATAAGTGCAGCATATTTTAGACAAGGGTTTAAAACTCAGTGAGTGAGTCAATCACATTATTTTCTATTAATTCCATAATTAGTTCTCGAGATATTAGACGTACTTTCTAGAGGACAATGGTAATATTAACTAAAAACAAATTCAATTATGGAATTTTCATTGTTGAAAATTATTATATAAGGTCTCGTTCATGATCAACTAATTTTTGGGTCACAATGCTATCACGTATTTTTTTATGTAATCTATACTGATAACATCTAGTTTGATTATCCTAATACTCGACAAGGTGATGACTAGGTAGTTCATACTGGACGTCTCTAAGTAGTTTTCTTTTGGATTTCTTGAAAAGCAATTGTAACCACTCAGCAAGAGCACACTATTCCCCTGGGATGAATAGAGATTGCTATCATGTTGTAAGTTCTGATAGAAGACGTAAACAAAGCTAAACGAATCAAGTGATTAGATTTTAGTAAAACACTGCTTTTGAGTAACTTGATTTACTTACATCAATTCTAATTATTTATAACACAGATCTTCCTTATACAGTGTGATCAAAATAAGTTACACAACATGGGGATATCGAAAACGGTAGGAAATGTGTATTCGGTTCAATGGGAAAAAAGTTGCGCATCCAGAAGGTAATTCCAACAGCCTTCGAAATTTCTATAAATCAATCATGGTTCTTCAGTTTTATCTGAAACAGTTTTAAAAAAATTATTATCTACGGTACTATTGGAGATACAGCAAAACTGAAAATACATAACTTTTGATGAGATTCAACGGGGAAGTATTGATTTCTCTATGTGATATTTTGATACCTGATTATGTGTTTACTTACATATTATGACACCTTTTTTTCATTTTCAATATAACCATGTATTATATACAGTGGTTTGAATGTTTCGATCTTGTTTTAACATCATCAATGTTTTTTCGAAATGACAAATAAAAATATCAGTTATTTTAAAGAGAAATGAAAACACACGAATACCTCATTGACTATATTACTACATTGATGGATGTAATTTCGTATAATACCATTTAGTTTAGCAGTGTTCCCCGTTCAAAATGTATTTTACTGAAAAATTATTGACAGTTCTTGTACAATTAATGACAGTTTTTTTTTGTATATCGAAACAACATAATTATATCAAAGCAGTCTATAGTCTGAACTTAAACCTATTTCGGATCATCAACTGAAAAATCAGCTTCATTCCTACATAAACAGGACTTGAGAGTAGCGTATAGAACAAATAACACGCTGGGAAGGTTTATCAAAAATAATAAACACAAAACTTCTAAATTCGAAAAATCAGTGGTATACAAACTTAACTGTGGACTAACACCTATAAGTGATATGTTGAAGCAACTGGAGTGGCTGCCAATAAAATCTTTTCTTCTTTACCAAACCTTGATTCTAATTTTCAAAATAAGACATAAAATTGCGCCAACCTATTTACAAGAGAAAGTTGAATATAATGAGCAATTTCACGGATACAACACTAGAAATAGAACTGATTTCCACATTCAACAAGTTGGATTAACACAAACCCAAAATTCAATTTTTTTTAAAGGGCTTGACAGTTTCAACAAACTCCCACAAGACATTAAAAGCATAACATCTCTAGCTCACTTTAAAAGGGAATTAAAATCATACCTCCACAATCAATAAAGAACCCAGTAGCCACTATCTGACCATGTTTTTATAATTTTTATGTCAATATGTATATGTTATGTGACAAGTATGTTTATATGTGACAATTGTACTTATTCAACTATTAGGTGTATTATTATAGACATTTAATTATCCAATAACTGTGACAACCTCAAAATGGAAAATGTAAATTAGTCAATGACTACAATAAAGGTTTTATATATATATCGGTCAGACAGGTCGTACGTTTAGGCTAGATCGTCCTTCTGCCCCCTCAGGGCTTCGATTTGTATAATATATGGAGGTACCTTTCGTGAATCGATTGTCAGCTGACCAGTGCAACTGATGAGACTTATGGCAAGTCGAAACAGTCTGTCTTGCATCAGCTGACAATCGATTCACGAAATTTCCCTAGAATCTCTTCTTGAGAGAGTCTTGAGATTCTAGGTTTATCACCATCTGTTAGTGGAACATTGCACCACTTTGAGAATTACAGGTGTTGCGATAGTCTACAGAATTCTGACATGGTGTCTTTTCTGTAAGCATATAGAAGTAGGGGTCTACAGTGTGTCCATTTAGTGCGTAATTCTTCGATATCTCGAAAGTCATAACCTATAGAGAAAAACTTTGGAAAAAAGACTTTTTCAGTTACTTAAGTTGCTCATTTCAAAATTATTTTCAACATTACTGGGTGTTTTATAAAAGCAGGGCAACTCGAAGAAGAGTTTTTTTAAATGGAACACCCAGTATTGTTCATTCGGAATTAATTCCGTCGAGGTTCACCTTCACATCGCTGTGAAAAAAATTGAAATCGGTTGCGGCGTTGCCAAGTTATAATTGATAAATCTATTTTTACCATTATTGAAGAGTCATGTTCAATTGGGCATGGTATATTCATTTCTTCAGATTTTGAAAATATTTTTGGCATACGGTAGGAGCAAGGTCCAACGTTTACCAATCCAGTAATTTTGCGATATGTTCTTCAACAGGGTGCTCAATTTTGCATTTAGAATTTTGCAAGATTCAGATGACATTCATCAGAATTTTTCAAATGGAACACCCTGTATTTTTATTCAAATATTCATTTCGACATCTTTCGCCTTTTTATCGCTGGAAAACAAATCGGTATCGGTTGCGGCGTTGTCAAGTTATGGTTGATTTCCTTATTTTCACTACTATTCCGTGGTAATTTGTACGTCATAGTTCTTTCATTTATTTGTATTGTGGAAATATTGCGTTGCTATGGTATAATAAAATTTTTTCATTGACCATTCATATATTTTTTTACAAAGGGAACATTTACAGGCTCTCCAAGTTTGAATTTTGTTCGAAATATTTGTGTAATGACCTGTCAAACATCGCTACAATCAAATATATCTTGGATTGATTCGACATTTTGCTGAATTTCCTTCCAAAAGCTGCGTAGTGGAGACATATTGTTTGTATCATTATGTTTACCTTCTTCAAGGTAAATGGAGATTTGGATTGTGGGAATAACGACAATAAAAATGGCCCAAATTTCAAAAAAAAATTCTAATTTTCGCAATCCGCATCTTCATTGTTTTGTAGAAGTTATTTCAAAGACAGGCGTTGCTTTTGGCATGTTTGTTTGTTTCACATATCATTTGAATCATAAGTAGCAAGATTACGGAATATTTCAAATTTGGACGATGCACATATCACAAAAATACCTGAATGATCTATGTAGAACCTTGAATGTCATGTGGCAAGCAATATTCCCACACTCAAATCAAATTGAGGAACCATCAGCACGAACAAATTACCCCGAAATATTAGTAAAAATAAAGAAATTACTCATAACTTGAAAACGCCGCAACCGATTTCGATTTTTTCTTCTGCGATGAAAAGGCGAATGATGTCGAAATAAATCCGTGATGAAAAATACAGGGTGTTCCATTTGAAAATTTCTCATGATCGTCGTCTGAATCTTACAATATTCAGAATGTAAATTTTAGCACCCTGTAGAGGATTATCTCGCAAGATTACTGGATTGGTATACGTGAGACCTTGCTACTACTGTATGCCAAAAATATTTTCGAAATTTCAACGAATAAATATACCATACCCAATTGAACATGACCCTTCAATAGTAGTAAAAATGGGTTTATCAATTATAACTTGGCAACGCCGCAACCAAATTCAATTTTTCTTACAGCGATGTAGAGCTGAACTTGAGCGAAATAAATTTCGAATGAACAATACTGGGTGTTCTATTTGAAAAAACTCGTCTTCGAGTTGCCCCGCTTTTATGAAACACCTAGTATCGTTGGAAATATTTTCGAAATGAGCAACTTTAGTAACTGACAAAGTTTTTTCTCCAAAGTTTTTCTCTTGTGATAATTGATTTCGAGATATCGAAGAATTACGCACTAAATGGACACACTGTATATGCACGACGTACTCGCAAGGTATGATTGATGAATCTACCTATACACCTTTGCACTTAAGCCACTAGATGGCTTTGAAGGCTAGATCGTCCTTCTGCCCCCTCAGGGCTTCGATTTGTTGGCTTAGTTCATTGTACCAGTATATCACCTGACGAAGCTACTGTGTTAGCGAAACATGTTGTGTGTTTAAGAATTTTGTGGAAATCTTATATTTTGTGGAAATCTTATCGTTTGTGAATTTTTCACATTTGTCATGGATTTCCATCAAGTAACGGCCGAGTCAATTAAAAAAAAACGAAAAATCACGCGCGCTCCTCATTGCAGGTTCGCCCTGAAGCGCCACCGGAACATCCACGAAAAGTACGGCCGGACTAAACCCCCCGGTACGGCCACCGACGACACGCACCTCAACAGCTCCTCGGACTCGATCTCGCCGTCGGCCACCGTCGTCACCATAACGACGGACGTCGACGACCACGAGGAGATCGTCGAGGCGAAGTACGTGGAGAAGTTCGAGACGGTCGATGCTAGCGATATCGACGAGGAGATGACCGATATGGCCGAGTTGCAGGTGCAGTTGCACTGAATTTTATTTGAACAGAGAGAACAAAGATCTAATAATATACATTCCTTAATCTACTAGATCGCGTCTAACAGTGCGGGTACTGGAGCTCGAGAAACTGAACGAGAATTGGGACAATCGTTATCTACAAAATAACAAATATTGATCCGTAACGATTATTGTTCGCTAACGATGCTATTAAGCGTTACAGAATTGCCTACTTGGAGCGTGAGCTCACTTTACAGAACGATGAGCTGCTAAGAGGACAATTGAAAATCGAAATATTGCAATCATTCTGGTTGCTGCATCTGCGATAATCTCCGTTCTTCGCGCTTCCAGTTTTCTTTCTGATACATTAATTTTTCAGTAAAATGAACTTATGCACGAACTTCATTATATTACGTCATATAGCTGATACAACCGCATATTATGCTGAATATTTTTACACTTTGAAGTTGAAACATGGACATCAACTGAGAGATCTCTATTGGAAAAACTATCACTCATAAATTCTCTCAATGATAGTAGTTATCGTGGCGAAATACGTGGAGAAGTTCGAGACGGTCGATGCTAGTGATATCGAGGAGGAGATGACCGATATGGACGAGTTGCAGGTGCAGTTGCACTGAATTTCATTTGAACAGAGAGAACAATGATCTAATAATATACATTCCTTAATCTACTAGATCGCGTCTAACAGTTACAGGTACTGGAGCTCGAGAAACTGAACGAGAATCGGGAAGATGTCATAATTAGAGCGTCAGTTCACTTAACAGGACGATGAGCTGCTAAGAGGACTATCAAAAGCGTGATAAGAGGCGATTATCGCAGTTGCATTTGCAAATATTGCAATCATTCTGATAGCTGCATCTGCGATAATCTCTGTTCAATAAAGTGAACTCATGCACGAACTTCATTATATCACGTCATATAGCTGATACAACCGCATATTTTGCTGAATATTTTGACACTTCGAAGCAAAAACAACGACATAAGGAACTGAGAGATGTCTATTGAAAAAATGATCACTCATAAATTCTCTCAATGATAGTTATCGGGGCGAAATACGTGGAGAAGTTCGAGACCGTTGATGCGAGCGATATTGATGACTAGATCGCGGCTTGCTTACAATATAAGGTAGTAGAGATCAAGAAACTGAACGCGATTCATTTATAAATCATTTGAAAGTATGCGGCAATAATCCATAACGTCATACACGGATAGATGAATGACATCGCGAATGATGGAGATACTTCTTCAGAATCATTGCCAGATATTGATATTCTTTATAGATATTATTATATATTTAACAAATCGGGATCTCTCTCATGCTTAAACAATAATACATCATTTTGTAATGATGAGCGAAGTAACTTATATCTTGAAAAATAATGAATGATGTATAGATGATGAACCCGTAGACATGCTGAATATTTTGACACTTAATAGTAAAAACTTCTACATCAAGAACCGAGAAATCGCTATTGACGATAACTTCCCTCAATGATAATTATTCAGTGAGTGACACTTTTTCAGTTAGTAACGAGAGGATTATTTCGAAACCACTTCTTTTTCAAAATACTCAAAAAGTTCCGGACTCGATTTTGCCGTAGGCAACCGTCGTTACCATAGCAACGGACGTCGACGACCACGAGGTGATCGTCGAGGCGAATTACGTGGAAAAATTTGAAACAATTGATGCGAGCGACGTAGATGAGATGACCGATATGGCGGAGTTGCAGGTGCAGTTGCACTGAATTTACTTTGAAATTTACAATGAGAGCAAAGATCAAATGATATATAACCTTTGATATACTAGATCACACCTAACAGATCTGTCCTGGAATACTGTTCCCTTGTTTGGAGTGCAGCACCCAAACATACCCTGAAACTGTTTCAATTCGTCTCGTGGATGATACCTCGCTCACAAACTCACTCACTTCTCTGGAACACCGCAGAAAAGTTGGCGATCTGGCTCTATTTTATAGATATTTTCATGGACGATGCTGTTCTGAAATTTCAACGATTGTTCCTCCCTTGGCAGTCCCCGCGAGATTAACCCGTCGAGTTGATGCTTCGCACCCCTTCGTGGTCGCTTTGGAGACCTGCAGAACATCTATTTCCAAAGACTCGTTCGTCCAACGAACAGCGAGGCTCTGGAACACATTGCCAAGGGAGGTGTTCCCCGAGGTATATAACCTCCAGAAATTCAAGAAGAACACCAATTCCTACCTTATTTCCCTTGGTTCTTATGATGTTCTATGAACATTACAGGATATCCCTTTTCATTGGAACCAGAACATGAATAAAAAGCTAATAGCTATAGGTTCTAGAATTGAATAAACTGAATGAAAAATGGGAAGCTGTAAACATCAGAGCGCGAGTTTCACTTATTTGTTGAATTTCAGTGACCCAATATTACACATGGAAGTCACACACACCAGATGAACAAATTGTGTGAACCCCTTGAGTCCCAGCACTTAACATCGCAAAATTACCCCTTAAAATGTGTGCATTGATTTTTCATATATTTTGTTCCATTCGTTATCATGATAGAAACATGCTTTGAAATGATAAAATCGTGTTTTTTTGTACTTTTTAAAGAACAAAAGGTCTGAGTCACATGTTCACCATTTGAAATCAATGGTAAGAAAAGAAGGTAGGTGTATCTTAATAAGGCTAATTAATGATTGAAAATCAAACTTCATTAAAATAAACTCTAATTTGGTGAAACGAAAATTGATGTTTTATTCATGAAATTGTTTGAAGCAATTTCGTTTTGAAGTCAAGCATAAGAATAGGAGGCATGTAGTGCACTTCACAGATGTTTTCTGAGTACATCCCGGATTTCGACAACGGTGTTGTGTTCCACCATCTATTTCAGGTAGGTGTTTAGCATCACATGTGTGTTTTCTCTTGGAAGGAATAGCTGCTGCGGAGGGTCTGCCTCTTTTTCGTTCGCATTGTTGCTGATTTTCAATGCCGCTATTGCTTGGATTTTGGTAAATATTATCATCGATTAATCTCTTTCCTAAAAGCATTTTGAATTGTCGAAGCTGGAGAATTCATCTTACACGAGCCTTGGGATTTCCGAAATCTTTTACAACTTCTGACTGAGTCCGATGAGGAATTTGATGTCATTCCTGAAATGAAATAAAATATATTGTACTTTATAGATTTGATGAACAAATAGCTGATCAGCACCTGATCTTACACAATAAAAATAAACTTTTTCATTGTCATTGGCAATCTTTTTACCAGTTCTTCTAGAATATTGCACATTGTTTTCCTTCTCCTCTCGGTCCAGCTATGAATTGAACTCTAAAAATTTGTGAATTAAAATAATATAATATATAGATACCTGATACCTACCTTTCTGAGTTGGAAAATGCATTATTTTTTTTTATCGCTTGGAGCGCACGAAAGGGAATCCCTATAATGTTCAAAGAACATCGTGCGTTCCTAGGGAGGATAGGGATAGGAGGTAGGTATTGGATTTTTTTTTGAACTTCTGTAGGTTATATGTTGTTGGGAATACTTCCTCAGGCAATGAATTCCAGAGCCTAGCCGTTCTATGGATGAAGGAGTTTTGATAAAGTGCTGTTCGACATCTTTCGAGGTTGACAACGAAAGGATGTGCTGACTGGGCTTGTCTAGTTCGTCTGACTGGTATTGCTAGTGGAGGGATGATAGCATGATAATGACATCATTAAATATATTGTGAACAGAGCTCAAATGATTCCTCAAATGATTTCCATCTTTAAATTATATATTATCACAGTCCTCTAAACATTTAAAATTTGAGTTGCAGCTGCCATGATAACTTATGTTCACAGGACCTATGTCATGATTTTCTAGACGATGTCTATTCAAATTACTCTGATTAGAGAATATTTTGTTGCATATCAAACAAACTACAGCCATTTACGAGATATTATCATAAAAATAGAGACGAACTTTTCAATTTTTTGATTGTTTACACACAAGGATTAGCTTAAAGCTGATTAGAATAATTGACAATTCGACAGTCGACACATGGTCACGAACTGGCAACGTTGGATCGGCTTCCTCGTTTTAGGGCCTCGTTTAATCCACCATGTGTGAAATGAACCTCATTGTCGATTTATTTGTACGAATTCTTGCTGGACAAACAGCAATCATTCTGTCGGTTGAATCTATACCTCCCATATAAGCGTTATACTGCTTAACGACTAATGGTCTGGTGACATTCAGGTATGCTTTCTCATTCTTGCTCAATCTTCGACAGCTATCAGTGGGCTCTGCTGCGTATATAGTTGAAAGCAGCAATACTGATTTATTATCAAACCATTTTGTTAATGCCATTTTTTCATCTCGTACCATTAAGTCGAAGCTCCCGCGACCTCTTCGCTTCAGGGACTGATCGTCTTCTAGCTGGGTTCTAGGAACACTTGGTATTTTATTTCTTATTGAAGTTCCAACACATCTTATTCCTCTCTTCAATAATTCGTCTTCTAATTTCAGAGTGGTGAAGTATCGGTCGATATATACGATATGTCCTGGAACCAAATTACAGCTCAAGTGTACAACAGCACTTTCTCCAAGTGTAAATCCTGCTTCAGTTTCTTCTGGAAATGTTGATCTTCCTTGATAAACAACGAAGTCACAAACAATACCATTAGAATTTGCTAAAACAAAGATACCTTCTGGGTTTGGTTTCTTTGGTACAATTGTTTCAGCCCATAAGTTTCTGTAAAAGGTATTATCATTTAATCTACAGCAATATGCTGATTCCTTTCTTGTAGGTGGCAACCTTTCAACACACTTTCAATGATTGGACGTACTTTCTGAAGTCGATCTTCCGTTTTTTCTTCTTGTGGCACATCATTGTCGGATACTAACTTGAGTGAAGTTCTTATCAGAAAAAATCGGTCTCTAGTCATTGCTTCAGCTATAATAGGTACCCTCCATTCATTTTCCCAATACATTCGAATCTTTGGATAATTGATACACGCCATCACTAGTGTTATGCCTATGAAGGTTTTTATTTCACGTTCTGTTGTATTGATATTTTTGTTCCTTCTGTGGACCGAAGTTTGATTGGTTTTTTCAACCATCAAATCAAAAATGTCTCCAAGGTATTGTGCTCATTGAAGTCTTCTAGAGAATTTGGCGAATATGCAGCGGGAAAAATATTTTGTACTGCAAATAGGACACTGGGACGGAAAGCTAGTTCCATGTGTACGACTAGCGGGACTGAGTGACATGTGTAATTTGTTCTATATTTAGAACGGTAGGTCTCAGGAGGATATAGTTTGAAATATTATTCCTCTGTAAGGAACTTTCCTCCAATTCAATATGGAGACAGACAGACAGATAAAAAGTAGCCCGAATGGTCATGGGTCTTCCTTGGCACAGTATGTTATCCTATACTACACCTATAGGAGATCCTCGGGATGTTCTGAATATTCAAATGACCAGAAACAGACCTACCATATAACATCTGTCATCAAAGAACGTAATATTAAGATTGAATCAAGACCTATGAAGAAGCCACTACTCATAAAAACCAGCTATTGCAAGAATCAGTTGATTAGGCCCTCAAAAGCCAATGAAAGTATGAAGTCCTAAGATTTTTCTCGACTTCAACCTCAGCCATACTCTTTTACTCTTTGGCCCCATTAGAACACCGTAGAAAAGTCGGCTACCTCTCACTTCTCTATGGATACTTCCACGGGAAATATTCCTGAGAAATCTCTGCTATAATTCCATCACTAGCAATACCAGTCAGACGAACTCGACAGACCAAGTCAGCACATCTCTGCGTCGATAACCTTTGAAAATGTCGAACAACACTTTACCTAAACCTGTGCGTCCATAGAACGGCGAAGCTTTGTAATTCTTCGCCAATGGAAGTATTCCCAAGAACTTAAAACTTCCAGAAGTTTAAAAAAAACACCTACCTCCTCTCCCTATCCGTTCTAGGTACGCACGATTTTCCACGAACATTTTAGGATTTTCCTTTCGTGCGCCCCCAGAGATATAAAAATGCCTCAAGTTCAATAATATTGTATATGGGTTCAAATTTGTGTATTATATCATATCTGAAGTTACTTACTTCAGGCAGAATGTCTGCATGCACCAAACCTCAACTTCCTTCTACTGTCGACTACTGAATGTATGCATCACATGCATCACAAAATGAGAGAGAAATACTAGATATTATCTGCGATAGGATTTAATATTTCATATATTTTTGGTAGATATTGGATGGAAAGTGCCTCATTGTTTCTCATAAGTTACAGCAATGACAAATATGTTCAAGTCAGTATTTTTTCCTTCAACTCATTTGTTATAAAAAATGGTATAAAGACAGCAAGAGATTCATGGGACTTCAAAGGGCCTGAAATCCATATTCATTTTATTTTAAATAATATACTTTTATTAAGAAATACACTTTATTAAGAGAATACTATGTTTATAAAAGTTTCGAAATATAAAGTCCTATACATTTATTATAATAATAAAACAGTATTACTTTGGAGTATTAATAACTGTAATAAAGGTTGGAGGAACATTTTCATGTTCTTTTTATTGCAAATATAATAAACATTTTGACATTTTTCTGGTGAAAGCTAAATTAATTCTTTCTCTATATTGAAGGGCTTATTATGCAACAATGACGAGCCTCAAGAAGGTAAAACTGAGGTATTCGACTTTTATAGTTTCAGTTAAATATATTCCGATGCATTATGTTCTTTAGGACTATGTTTAACAA